GTGAACAAATTATGCAATTTTTAGATAAGATATTTGATATTATAATTTTTTTTGAAAATTTAATCAATTTTATGAATGTGTGTAGACTAAAGTTACTTATCAAAAAAATTTACCATCAACATTTTTTTTTGATCCTTTGCATGTATATCTCATATTTGATTACATGAAACATACCTCTTAAAGGTATAATTTTGACCTCTAATTTCTATTTTTTTCCGATAAAAATGGCTTTTTCGGTTTTTCATATTTAGTTGATTGTATACACTTTGAAAATGCTACCGAATGATGACAATGTACTTTCAAAGTACAATGTTTCAATTAGTTAACAACTTAAAATAAAAGCAAAATGAAATGCTAAAATTAAAAATACTTTAAAGAAAGTCTGGGGCGTATTAATGTACCTTGCTATTTTTTTTTGCATTTATAGCATGGAAACCACCTGTAACAGATAAATAAACAAAAAAATTCATTTATTTGCAATTTTAGCTACAACAATAAAAGACATCTGTAAATGAAAAATATGAAAATGACAAATATTAACATGACATATTCTAATGGCCCACAAAACTCTTTGAAAACAGCATATACCATTAAAATACACATATATGATTGAAAATTTTATAATGACACCAAATTACTATATTAACCCTTGTTATATTTAAAACTATTTATACCTGGATTCAATGGAGTATAGTTCGAAGCAAACTCATTCTTACTAATTGTGTAGATGCATTTTTTCATATGTTGAGGGGATTCTGGAGAGGCTTAGACACTCTGCAATTACAACAATAACATAATATAAGACAATCATCCATAATATCCATGATACCAAATATTTTAAGCCATGACACATATCATAATTCATACCTTGAACCTAAATGAGGAACACATCATAATTCAATTCTAGATTTTGACAATAATTTTCATACAACTCTTCATAGCTATCTTAAATATCTAAAAACATAAATACCTAGACTTGTAGCAAGCTAGCATACAAAGATGTTAGTAAGTTATAGAAAAATTTAATCACAGTTATAACGGGAAATTTGGAAGTAAAAGGAAAAAAAAAAATCCTTTTTTGTTATTAAGTTGTTTCTAGATAAATGATGTTTGCAAGATATTTAAGAAAATGATGGGACATTTGGAAAATGGAAATGGAAAGAAAAAAAATATATGATGACAAATTTGTAAAAAGTTAGAAATTAATGAGGAAAGTCTCCTTTTCGTTGACTATATCTGTTAAGGCTATCTTTCTTACTTAAGTCGAAGAGAAATTCTAATGTATAGCTTATTGGAGAAGCCATATCCCTATTAAGTCCTTTAAGTCGAACGAAAATAAGTTAACTAAGATCTATTTTGTGGTAAGATACTGAATTGTAGTAAAAACATAAAAGAAAATCATTTTGAGGTCAAAATAGTAAAATCCTTAGCTTCAAGATTGTAATAAATTGCTTCAATAACTATCGACTTGTTATATTAATTCGTATTTTACTGCACCATCTTTCTGACAAAATAGCAAAAAAAAACCTACAATTTTTTAAATGAACTGTCTTGGAAAAAAAGGATATCAAGTACAATTTACATTATTTACAAAATAAATCAATAAATAACTCGTCCTTCTAAATCATGTTGGTATTTTGGTCTTTTTGAAGAAAGATTTTTTTTGCAACAAAAGCCAAAAGTTTATTAGTCTTTTTTATGTTATAAGTGCAATTTTATGCAAAAAGAAGCATATGATTCTAAATGTAATGAAATTAATAAGGAAAACCAAGAACTCACTTGGAAAAGAGTGTTTGGGAATAAATGGTGAATTTCTATTCCCTTAATTTCATTAGGAACTATATTTTTGCTAATGGAGATATTCAAGTAACTATAAAGTAAAGTTAGAAATGTACCAATGGCCTGAAATTAAAAATGAAATAATTTTTTCACAAATTAAAAATTATGGTAAAAAGACTAAATGAGGGTTTGGTTTGTAGAATTGTTTTGGAAGGAGTGGAATAAGTCAAAGGAATTGGAATATGAATGAATAATTATATGTTAGGCATTTGGTTGGAAAGAAATGAAACATAATTCAATAAAATTTAGCGTAAATATACATAATTGACTTTATATTTGTACTTATTTCAATATATATAACAATGGTATTTTGGTCTTTTAATACCTAGGCAAATAAAATAAATACTTATAGTGAGATGAATACCAGAGAAAATGGTAGATGTGAAGTGCATAAATGTTAACTTGAAAAACAAATTTTCTCATTTTTATATTAGATATATAATGAACTAAAAAACTTATAAAAACAAACTTTTTACCGAGTGATTACAATGCTAACATATGAGGAAGGTGCAATACACGTCCATAAAGAAATAAGAATTTGATAAGATTGTCTTGTTTGATTTATAATATTCTCAATTTCTCATTGAGGAATTTTATCGAACACTTAATGTTCATCTACAAACTAAAGAAACACAACCACACATTGGATAGATGAAGCAAATAGATCACAAATAACGGATCATAGGAACTAAAATAATGTTGAAAGTTAACTTAAAATTAAGCAGATTATTGGTATCTCTACCTTCACCTTTTTACTTTGGTACCTGCAGAGTTATACAGTGTGTTCTTTCTAAAATACACATGTAAGCTTTAAACAAATGGAGGTATGATGATATATTAAGAAAATTAAAGAAAGTACGTTACTATTTCTCATAAAGGAACTATATAAAAGATAGTACATGTTAAAATGACATACCAAGTTCTAAATGACCGAAAAATGAAATCAAATAACAAAATCCATGCGAACACTTTACATATTATTTAGGTGATGTTTGTTTTTAAAAAAAAAAACTCTTCAAACCACTTTCTGTTGCGCGGCGCAGCACACACGCAACACTTTCCCTCTCGCAGCAGTTTGTTTTTTGGAAGACTTCAGACTCCAAAACATATGCGCGTGTGCTGTGTGGCGCAGAACTTGACTTGCCTCTTCAAACCTCTTCAGCTTTCATTTTTTTTAAAGTGTTTTTTTTTTAGAATTTTGGTATAACTTATTTTTTTTTAACTTTTATTTTTTTTAAAAAACTTAGATTTTTTTAAACTTTTATTTACGGATTTGATACAATTTCTTATTATAGTTTCCACAAATTGTTTTTAACTTGATTTTTTTTAAAAAAAATCTTTAATTTTTATAATTTTTTTTACCGTTTATGTTAATAATATTTTCAGTTTCAATTTCATCTTTTTTAACGTGTGTAATTTTTTACGAACTTTGTAGACATCGTTTGCAAATCTTTCTTAATTTTTATTATTATTTTCTTTTTTATGTTTTTTACAATTAGTTTTTTTCTAGAATAAAGTTGTTAGCTTCTTTTATATTTTTGTAAGTTTTTTTTAAAAAAGTTTTATATTTTTGTTTTTTTACATGTTCTTTTTAGTATTCTTTCAATATTTTAAGACTAGAATTATTTAAATTTCGGTGTTGAAAACTATTTTCAGTTTATAAAATTAGTTTATTTAAATTTCAGTTTACTGCAGCAGTCTGCAGATGTTAAAAAACAAACATGCTTCTTATTATGGGCTGCAGCCGTTTGTTCCACCTCTTCTGCCACAGAGGATTGCAGAGGTGGTCCGCAGACTTCACGAATTTTCGCTTCGAAAAAACAAACAGCACCTTAGTCATTAACTAAACACATCCCCACAGTGGGGAATGGCTTGTTCTCGCTAATCAATTCTAGAGTCGTGTTTGCCCTCTTTGTATCAACAACAACAAGCTAAGAAAGTTTGGTAGCAGGCAGACTTTTCTTAGCATAAGATTGCAATGTTTACATGAGAACCATAAATCAATTTAGGGCTTGAACCTTAAGGGTTTCAAAAGCTAAACATCAAAATGAAATAGAGACCATAAGTTGATTTAGAGTTGAAAAATATAAATTGGGAATACCTAAGATAGTGAGATGACGAACATATGAAATAGGAAGGGGAAAACTAACTGAAACAATCAACCATCTTCTTTGTTTTCTTCTTTAAGAAACCCTTTCCGCCACCTAAAAACCTGCAACCAAGCCGAATACAAAATATGTGAAAATTTGAATGGGTCATCAAAAAGAATAAAGAAAAACGGTGAAGATGAGTGGCAGAATCTTCAAACCCGAATAGTTTTAGCAGATTGCGAGAGTTGATGAAAGTGTGAGTGTTGCAAGATGAAGGAGATGGTGAGGGGTTGTAGATGGCTGATGGTGTATGCCGGTAGTGTTGACGGTGGATGTTCATAGATAGGTCATAAGGGTGCGACTATATACAAAAGATTTTTTCTTTCGACTTTTCGAGATCTAACCTCACTCTTTCATTTGTGCTTCTATTTACCAAAATTCAGCCTTGATCTTTCATTCTTTGTTGTTAATAGAGATAATATAGTGATGCGGCTATGCTAAACAGACGATTAGGATTCTTGGTGGAAGGTTTATGTGATTTTAGGTTACGAATGCAATCAGAGTTTGGAAACTATGTAGAGCTTATGGAGCACGTAAGTATTGTTCGAAAGAAATGGTGTTTGAATCAAGATGATATCAACAAATTGATCTAAACGTGGAAAAGCTATACGTGAAACACAATCAAGGGTATTTATTGTTTAAGATGATGAAATCAAGTTTTTCTTTTTTGATATATACTAGAGATTTAAGGATTTTTATTTTTATAAAGTTTAAACCATTTCATAGTCGCATCGCATCAAGGATTGTTGCTGCATATGATATTGATATGTATTTATGATGAAAGGGAGTCCAGGGGAGGTTGGTTTTAAGTATTAAATGCAATTTGCAAACGACGTCGTGATGACGATAAGGTGACGTAGTTCAAAGATGATAATAAGACGCAGCAGATTTGAAAAAGTTAATAAACTGCGGTCAACGGTATTCCTTAGACCTTCTCTCCTCCCTTCCGCTGTGGCCTGCGGCATGTATATAAATACATATATCTATCAAACCCAAACACAAACACAAACACCCAAATATACATAAGAAATAAGATTTGAGAATTGAGAATTAAGATAAAGTAATAATGTCGAGTGATCCCCGCAGCGTGGTAAGAAAGTTTCTTGCGAGGCCTCAACATGAAGGAGCTGGAGCTGTTGTCAGAAGGAGCATCGGGAGGTTAATCAGTCACTACTCTAACCCTTCATTTCTCTTTAATTTCTTTAATTCATTGTCTCTTAATTATTGGGTTTTTTCATTTCCCTCGCTTTTCAGGTTCGAGCTTAAATACTTCGATCCTTTCCTTGTTTTGGATGAATTCTCAGGTAGCTCTCTGTTTTTTTACCCCTTCTTTTTGTTTGGTTAAGCTATATATATATATATATATATATATATATATATATATATATATATATATATATATATATATATATATATATATATATATATATATATATTAAGGAAATAACAGCTTTTTTTATATATGGAGTAAAATAAAACATGTTTCTAATTTATTTGGATTTTGAAGTATCTGCTCCTGCTGGATTTCCTGATCATCCACATCGAGGTAATATTAATTATTTGTTTCTTTCTTGCTCATTAATTACTTAACCATGCAAAAACACATCTACGTAATATTATAATAGATAAAAGTATAACCAAACTTTGTTGATTAATTAATTCTTATCATCCTTTGTCCCTCTGTGTGTTCCATCTTCTAAACAGGTTTTGAGACTGTCACATACATGTTACAGGTATATTTCTACACATTAATTTTTGAATATATATATATATATATATATATATATATAATATATATATATATATATATATATATATATATATGTAGTATAAGTTACCATGTCTTTATGCATGCTATTTAGCATTTACACCCACCAAACACAAGTTAAAAAGATTCTTATATAATTAAACAAGCTATTTGTGTTTGTGTTACAATATTAGTGCTGGATTGAAAACTGCACTTTCTTTTCTCTTCAGTGCTCTCGTCACTAACTAATTAACGGGGGCTTGATGCTTCTTCCAATTCAAGCCTGCTTTGTCACAAATATCTCTATTATTAAATTTTCACTATATATTATAGTTGAACTCAAGAAAAACTAAAACCAGAAGAACAAGTTTTTAAACCTTGGGTGTTGAGGTTTGTATAATCAAGATTTGGACACGTTATCCACTCTAATTACAGGGTCTTATTCTTGGTAAATATTTATGATTAATTTTAAACGCGGTTCAGTTGACTTTAGAAAGTTTTAATTAATGTGATAATATATATAATATAATTTATGATGATGGTGATGATTTTGTCCATGAAATGGGTTTAGTGATTAGTGGGGTTGAATTGATTAGCTAAGGGGGTCAATTGCAATTGCAGGGAGCTGTAACACATGAAGACTTTGAGGGACACAAAGGGACCATCGGAGTTGGTGACTTACAATGGATGACTGCTGGAAGAGGGATTGTGCATTCCGAAATGCCTGCTTCTCATGGCACTCAAAAAGGCTTGCAATTATGGATCAACCTCTCTTCTAGAAACAAAATGTATTATTATTATTATTATTATATCCGACTTCACTTTCCATCACAGATTAATGCTACAATCAATGCAACCATTAATTCAAAGGGATTAATTTCTTATAATTAAGTGGAAATTGACTTAATTAATTATATATTTGTTGAACATGCATACATGCAGGATTGAGCCAAGGTACCAAGAGATGGCGAGTAGGAATATTGCAGAAGCTACTGAAGATGGAGTTACAGTAAGAATTATAGCAGGGGAGAGCTTGGGGATGAAGTCGCCAATATATACAAGAACACCCACAATGTTTCTTGATATTACAATGGAACCAGGAACCCAACTTCAACAGCCTATACCCGAATCATGGAATGCGTTTGTATACGTATTAGAGGGAGAAGGTGTGATTGGAACCTCAAAATCATCATCCACGACACCACACCATATTCTACTTCTGGGTCCTGGCGATGGCGTTCAGGTTTGGAACAAGTCATCATCCAAAAGGCTACGCTTCATTTTGGTTGGAGGAGAACCACTGGGAGAACCTGTTGTTCAGTGGGGTCCTTTTGTCATGAACACACAAGAACAAATTGACCAGACGATTCACGATTGTGAGAATTTTGAAAACGGATTTGAGAAAGCCAGGTATTGGAGGTCGTCTGATCAACCCACTCATCATCAAGACCACACCTTTTAGAATTTTCTCTTCATCTCGATTGTATATGTTTTTTCTTTTGTCATTTCATATTTTCATAAGGTTTTAGCCTTTTAGGTGCATGCATGTTAATTGGGTTTAATTAATTAATAAAAATAAGACAATGATAATCATCTATGATGATATAGAGTTTAATTTGGGTTACAGTGAGTGTAATCATAGGATACGATTACATATTCCAAGGAATGATAAAAGAAAGAAACAAAGCTAAGGAAAGAATAAGAAGTGGAGTTTCGATTCCATTGAATATCTTTGAACGGCATAATTGAGATTTTATCAAACTTGGTAGGCCCATGTTTGAATGGCTTTTAATCTTCTTAAATTAGGTTACTTCGGTTATTCTTGTTTTTAGGGTTTTATTAATTTTAAAGATGTTTTAAAGATTTTTTTTTCATAAACCTCAATTAGATAAAAAAAATTATAAATTAATTTTAAAAAAGCTTTTGATTCATTAAACTTGGAATTTTTTAGATTCCATGCTGGTACAAATGAGGTTTAAAAATAAATGACGAGCTTTGATCGTGGGTTGTTTAAAATCAATCCGATCATATATTCTTGTAAATGGATTTGTAACTCTAAAATTTGATATTCATAAGGGAGTGAAGTAAGGGGACCATTTTTCTCATTTTCTCTTCACTCTTGTCATGGAATGCTTACACATTGCAATCCAAGAAGCTATACACATATCTTTGCAAGTATTGAACTCCCTCTTAATGGACCAAATATCTCCCGATTACTATATGCACGATGTTATGTTTATTGGTAATTGGTCAATCTCTAATGCTCTAAATCCATGTTTCTTTTTTATTAGTTAAGTCCTAAATTTATAAAGTATACTGAATTGATAATGATATATTAACTGATAAAGTGTCTTGTTAACATAAATATTGTTTCTTTTTTGGATCTAATATACCGACTAAATCTAAATAAATGACTATTTTATCCTCATATTTAAAGTTCAAAAAAATAACAACATTATCATTTATTTAATAATTATTGTAATATATAAATGTATAATATCATACTTTTACAAATGACATTTTCAAACTAAACGGGGAATGAAATTTTTTTAAGTCATTTGATTTAGAGATTAAATAAAATAAATTATGGTTACATTGAGAAAAGACTATTTTGCTATGAGATTGTCTCATTTTGATTCTGAAAAGTGGTTAAAACTACCAATAATAGCATGCAAGTCACCATTAATATTATTTTCATTAGCATGAAAAATAAATAAAGAGAGAACTCTCCTTATTTTGTGGGAAACATGGTCAGATGAATGCATTTTAGGTAAGGGTGAGCCAAAACCGCACCGCAACTAAAATTAACCGCATAAACCGCAACCGCAATAAAAACCGATGGTGAGGTTTTCTGTTTTTCAAAAACCGCAAATTTGCGGTGCGGTGCGGTTATTAGTTTTCAAAAACCTCACTGCACCGCATATATTATATACAATTTTTTTTTATTAATTCTTAATATATTAAATATTAAAAATAAGAGGTTTCATGGATGAAAGAATGATAAAATTCTAGAAGACAAAAGTTTTGGTTTTTTGTTATATTTAACTTTGGAAAATGATGAAGTTTCACAGTTTTAAAATATTTATTGTTGATTACTAGTGATTTCACATTTTTAAGATATTACTTGTTTGTGATTTAAGTTAATTGTCTAATACGTTATTCTTTTTTTATTATTATTATTACAAGCAATATGCTTAAAACTTTTAAAACCGTTTGAACTCTAAATTGTGGTTAAAAACCACACAAAATGATCGCATCAAATCCATGCGCTTAATAACCGAAACACAAAAAAAAAAACAAAACTGCACCGCAAAAATAACCGCCTAACCGCACCACAAAAATAATCGTACCAAGCAGTTTTGAAAATGGTTAACCACATATACGGTTAGTGGTGAGGTTTTGACCAATAACCGCACCAAACCATACCGCGACCACCCCTAATTTTAGATACATTATGCATGAAATTGCCACTTAATGTAAACATCCCTGTCTACGCGTCACTTAATCTTTTTAGAGATCATCTCTTAGCATTAAGTAAAAAGGAAACAAGTATATATATATATATATATATATATATATATATATATATATATATATATATATATATATATATATATATATATATATAAAGGTTGCAGAAAACGCTAGACGTTAGCTAGGCAGTGGACTGGGGTCCAATGATTAATCGGGGACCATTAATTATTGAAAAAATAATTCAAAATTTTATAAATCTAACTTTAATACTAAGAATATAAGTAAATAAGCATAAAAGTTTAATAACAACTTAATAAGTTTAACAAGCACAACCATTTATCATCCAAAATAAGCATAAATGTTTAATAATAAGCTTAACAAGCACACAAAATCATCATCCAACAAGTCCATAAAAGTTTAATAATAAGTTTAACAAGCACAACAATTTTCTTCTAATCTTCTCCACATACTTCTATTATTTGAACCCCATCCGACTCATATCCGTCTTCTTCTAACACTTGCTACTCACTCTCGGACTCGAAATCTTCATCGAAAAGTTCCCTCGTTTTTGGACTTTCTCGGGGTGCTTGACTAACATCAGTTGCAAGAGCTTCATCAACCGTTTTGGGGTCTACTTCATCTAATATTGAGTCTATCATCACATTAACACCATATTCATATAAGTTTAAAACATTAAAAAATCACATTAACACATTAAAAATACTCACTCACGTATCATTTTAATAGAAAATTTGAGTATCATCACATTAACACCATATTCATATCAGTTTATCATCACTTCACCTAATATCATCACAAATCAGCAGGCTCTGTATATACTTCATATCACTTTAACTGAAATTAGCAGAACAAGGAACAATCAAAAATGGAAAAATTCAAAGAAGCTTTCACACTTTAATAACAAGAATCATCAACAATGGAAAAATTCAAAGAAGCTTTCACACTTTATTCATTTCTATAACCAAGAACAATAAAAAAAGAAACTTATATATGAACAGATGTTGACTATAAGAAGAAAAATTAGCAGAACCCAAGTGAAAAGCTAAGCTTAATTCAAGATCTAATCAGGGAATTTTAAATTTTGGATGATTACCTTTGCGGTTTCGGTATCATCAGGAACTTTGTATAGGCCGGCGGTATCATCAGGAACAGACGAGTTGAAGGCGTCGGCATTCAGCATTATCCACTAGTTCTGATAACTTGTAAAAATCACATTCTCCTAGATAAATTAGGTACCAGTTAATCAATCTGATTCCTTTCAATACGCTAAACTGTAAAATAGTACATAATTTTTGTGAATGAAGAAGAACTAACCTTCGCAAAAGACAAAGTCTGATGTCGGAGGGATTTCGGAGGAGCAGATGATGTCGGAGGGGAAGGAACGACAACGGAGGATGTCAAAGGAGAATGAGCAACAACGCAATCTTGTAGACGACAGGAATGCGACAACGATCTTGGAAGGCAACGACGATTTTGGTAGGCAACGACTTACCAGAGAAACTTGTTGACGGAATGCTTGGAAGAAGAAGAAATCGCCGTTTTTGATGTGAGAAAGAGAGCAGTGAAATTGATATTGCGACTGAGATGGAATGAGTAAGAGGAAACGAACCCTAACAATGGTTTGGCGATTTTGTCCCTGAAATTTTTTGAATTCTATTGATTGTATTTGACCGATCAGGGCGCCCAGCTCCGCCAAGCTGTGATTAGGCCTGATTTTGACCGACTTTGACCCACAAATTGAAAAACATGACGGAATTAAAAATATGTTAAGAGAATTATACCTGAATGATGCGTCGTAATGATCTGATGATGGATTATTTGAGTATGATATGATTATATTGGATATGTTTGGATAGGGTTCTGCTATTCAGAAATAGAAAACTATAATCATATCATACTCAAATAGTTTGTTGAAATAGTTTGCTATTCAGAAATCCAAACATATCCATTATTGCAATCGTTTGTTGAAATAGTTTTCTATTTCTGAATAGCAGAACCCTATCCAAACATATCCAATATAATCATATCATACTCAAATAATCCATCATCAGATCATTACGACGCATCATTCAGGTATAATTCTCTTAACATATTTTTAATTCCGTCATGTTTTTCAATTTGGTATCAGAGCTAAGTAACGTTCTTATTATTCTTATTATTAGTTTGCATATTCAATCTATCGTTAATAAGAATATATGCATATGCAGCATCATAAACATGATAAACATCATAAACATGATAATAAATAACCATTGTTTTTAAATATTCATATTTAAAAAAGTTATCAACAATTAAAATATTTATCGTAAGAAGATTTAATACCATAAATATGTCTAAGATATTTTCAATTGTTAGATTACTTTTATTGCTTCATGATAGTATCATTTCGAGTTGTTTTAACTATTAATTCTACAAAATTTGAAATTTTTATTAAAATAATACTCGTTCTTAATAATCAAATTAATCAAATTCATGCTTGAAATATATATTTATGTCTAACAAAATTTTGATGAATTGTATTCCTAATAGAAATATTATTTTAAGAATACAGCAAATCCAAGAATCTATAAATAATTCTAAGAAAAATCTCAAGGATTCTTACAAACCTAATAATCAAGGCACGATTTTAAACAATAACCATATTCATGATGTTAGATATTTCATAAGAACTAGTATTAAAATCCGTTACAAGCAAATACGTCGTCTAAAAAAAAACTATTTGTATTTTAAAACATATGTCTTTTAAACATTATTATAATTACCACTACTATTTTTAAATAAATTTTAATCATAACTTTAAATCTAAAACGAAACTAAACTATTATTATTATAAAATTATAATCATGAGTTTTTCAAGCCTAAATACAAATAAACAAGAATTAAAATTTTTTCGTAAAACATTGAAACAATCTAAAAAATTTCTTTTAGATTTAAAAATAGATTCTAACATATCAATAATAAATTGTATATCCAATATTGAAGCAATACATATAATAAATAATAGTATCAATTGGAAACAAGAACAAATAAAAAACCTTGAAAACAAGATAACAAAATTAATTTGTTAAATATGTTTAAAAAATAGAAAAAGCATTAATAATAACT